CCCACATTATGTCAAGCATATATAATTATTATACGACATTAAATTCAGAAATATGGAGAATTTTTTTTTATTTCAACCATAACTTTTAAGAAGTTTAAAATCAAAATATGTTTATTTAATTATTTTAAATTACTTTGATATTCCAAGACATTGGTTAAATGGCAAACATATATACAATGGTAGTTTATTTAAAGTACACGTAAGAGATTTAGTATTTTTATTTAATTTATGTAATAATTGTAATTTTAACAAGAAGAATAGAAGAAAAAGTTATAAGTGAATTTATAGTAGTGGTCACTAGCCCTTATTTAATACAAAAATAAATTCAATATTAAAATATGAGTATTTTAAAGAATAGCTCAAAATATAAATCAGAATATTAACAATATAATAATTATATAATTCATATAAATCAGCTCATTTTACAATCCTTAAATGGTAAAAATAGATATTATATTTTAGCAGAGATTAGCTGGAATTTGTTCGGGTGAGTAATTTATACTTGAAATATTACTTTTATGAGTATTGAATGCATTGAGGTGATATGAATGAGAATTTTTAGTCCGGAGATGAATCGATCTGCGCCGTTAAATGGAACCTGATATTTAACAGTATTTTATATGATCCTCTATTCCGTGTTCAATATTCTCACTTGTTATATCTACAGGCATGAATTATTCAGTCTTTTCACAACTTTCTGCAAAAATGTTTATTTAACTTTCGCGACTGAAATAATTTTTTTTTCTGTATATAATATTTTAAAGTATCGAAATTGTGAGACCTAAATTGTAGCTTATAAAATTTCCTACCAAAAACGTTTTTATTTCATGGGGTTATCTTAAATATTTTAGAAGATATGACACTTAAATAAATGCCTACAAAGTAAAATATAAAAAATCATTATTTAGTCATTGTAAAAATGGCTGTAATTTCCAAAATATTGATTTTTTTATAAAAACTATGAAATCAAAATTGTAGCTTATAAAATTTCCTACAAAAAAATCTTTTTATACTATGGAGTTATCTTTATTAGATAGTAAAAATTACTTAGATAGTAAAAAATGAAAAATCATTTTCTAGACATTATAAAAATGGCTGTAACTTCTAAAATATTGATTTTTTTATAAAAACTATTAAACAAAAATTAAAGCTTATAAAATTTCCTACAAAAAATGTTATTATACTATAGGGTTATCTTCAATATTTTACAAGATATAATTACTTAAATAATGCTCATATAATTAAAAATAAAAAAACATTATTTAGTCACTAAAAAAAAATGATTATAACTCCTGAAATATTGATTTTTGGAAAAAATCATAAGACCAAAATTGTAGCTTATAAAATTTCCTACAAAAAATGTTTTTATACTATGGGATTATCTTCAATATTTAAGAAGATACATTAACTTAATCAGTGCTAATAAAATGAAAAATAAGAAATTATCTAGTCATTATAAAAATAACTTTTTTTACATTGATTATTATTATTTTTTATTTTTATCACCAAGATTATGATTATTATTATTACATCTAACCCGATAATGAGTTTATAAAAAAATGAAATTAACCTTTTATATAAAGTTGACAGAAAGTATTTTTAGTCCTACAACTAAATAACTGTAACTAGATTAATTTTGGAGATCGTTCCCGAGATAAAAGTTATAACGAGCTTAGCAGTCAGGGGCTTTAGTAGACATCTGTGTCTCCCAGGACAAAACATATAGAAGCGCTATTGTCAAAGCAAGAAACTCGATTTGTAATTCGCAAAACAATATTCCTGACACTTTGACTGAGTTTGTTCTCGCTTTTGTCAGGCTTTCACTCACCCGTCCAAAGTTCACCGTTAACTTCCTCGGTTACAAACAAGAATAACGCTCCAAAAATGTCCTTTAAAGAAGAATAAAAGGATCTTTTTTGTCAAACTCAACCCACTGGGGTATCTCCAGGAAAAATGCTCCTTTGAATTTACACTCCAATTGCTATAACATCTCGATAAATATATATTTATCTCCATTGACATTCGCTCAATAAACATCTACATACTCTCAATAAAAGCAAGCATTTATTTATTTATTACCTCCAGTGTAAATATCCCCTATTTGTCCGAAGAAAAATTCATTACTTAACAATGTAATGAAAATAATATAATTATAGCAGTCTGTTATATATATATTGCCTACAATATCGTCACGCAAGTGTACATCAAGCTCGCTTACTATACTTCGGGTCACGCAGTTATAAGTAGGACAGCTTACCCTCGACTTTTGCGAAAATTAACTTAACATGCGTGAACGATTTAATTATTAATTAATTAATATTAATATTTAAATTTATTTTTAAAAAATTTATCAAAATTTTTTTTTTTTTTTTTTTTTTTTTTTTTTTTTTTTAATTTATTTAGTACTTAATTTATTTATTTAATTAAGCAACCCTAATATAAATTGTCATTAAGGCTCGTAAGCGTAATTTACAATATTAATTTTTTTGTAAAAAAATTATTTTAATAAAGAGAAAAAAATTTTTTTAAGACAAAAATTGGAATTTTTGTGTAAAAAATACAAAATTAAAATTAACAATATTAAATTGTAATTAAAAATACAGATTTAAAATTGCAATAAAGCCAAAAATTTTTATTTTTATGTAAAAAATACAAAATTAAAATTATAAATATAAAATTAAAATTAAAAATAGCAATAAAGCCAAAAATTGTCATTTTTGTGTAAAAAATTAAAATTTTGTTCAAAATTAAAATTGTTTTATTATTATTACTATTAATTATTGATAATGACTCGATAAAATTTAAATATCCTTGCTATAAAAATAATAATAACACGCTCATAAAAATTTATCCATAATTTTTTAATTACTCTATAATCATTCCTTAATTTTTATAAAATAAATTACTTATTAAATTAAAAATCATGTTAATAAACGCTTGCTCCTACATTTCGTTATCTAAATTAAAAACCAACTTTCTGCTGATCCTGTAAACAAGCTTCAATTTTATTTGAAAATAAAATTTTCCCAGTAATTAAACGAAGTTTAACCCTTACAAGTACCACTAAAATACCATTTAAAAAAAAAGAAAGGAGTTTAATCGACGTATTTAACGATGGCTATAACCATATAATTAGCAAATATTTTCATTGGAATAAAAATGACATGAGCGAGGATATCAAGGGCTTTACAAGCATATCTAATCGATATATCGTTCTAAATTTAACTGTGCATACATAAATTACTCTATTTTACGTAATTTGATACGTCAATTTGCATTATCATCAATCATTATCAATTATTAATATTAAAAATCCTGAAAAAAAAAAAATCCAATAAAACATTGTGTCAGCCTATTGTTCATCTCCCATTCAATCACTCGTCTTTCATTTAACTCCATTCATAAAAAGCTTTTGAAATTGAACCTTTTGAATTACCTGTTGGAGTCTCAGGATTAATTGCAACAAATTAACCGTGTAATTGATCGGGGTTCACAACTGGCACCTGAATAAATCACAAGTCACTGACTTTAAAATTAAATTTAAAAATCCAGCAGTAATTAATCAAAAGCAATTGTTATTTATTATTTTTATTATTATCAAATAACTGTCACTTGTGATGGTAAATCCTTGTGCATGGCACGCACGTGTTAGATAAAATTGCATGTGGTGTTTTTTTTGAAAACTGCCGATAGAAACTCAACAATTGAATTAAAAGACACTAAAGCGGGCTCGAAGATCGGGATTGTCTTTTAAGCCAAAAGTAAAACTGGCTGCGGGTTTTTTGTAAAGTTTGGTGGTAGGTTCTTGGAATAATGTGACCGGAGATCCTTCGGCGGGCGAGCGGTCGCCTCGACAAGAGCACACGCGAGTATAATCCAGTGCGCAGCCCCGATGCGCCTACTCGAGCATAATCATAGGAGACTACTGGCTTCGAAGCAGCAACCTGGTGCTCGTTCCACCCCTGCGTGCTCGTCAGAGCCTTACCATCGCCACCCGCCGATGTCGGTGCTGCCATCCACCACCTCACTAACATTTTTAACCCACATCCTACCCTCTGCAATACGGAGTTACGGAGTTACGGACACTCATCACTGTCCTGACTTACACTGGTGGTAATCCTACCACCTATAGGTAGTGGTACCAGCTCCGCAGTTGAACTCCTTTTTCCGATTTTTAATTGTTGTCAGGATACATCACTAGTTGCGTCATCAAAGTTTACTCGAGTAGAGTGTCTACAGGGGAGGGGAATGACTCTAGTGAGCTTAATTACGTCATTTTGAGGGATATACAGCTGGCGAAACAAGTTAAGCGTTGACGGTGCTATGTTGCTAGTTGTTATGACAGGTACAGGTTTTATCTCGTAGGGCAGATTTTGGAGTGGGAAATTTTCGAGGGGTTTTTGGAAATTTGGGTCAGAATTGTTTTTATATTAAGGAAGAGATACTAATGGTGGAAAGGAAATTAAGAAATAAATGACTTGTTAATAATATAGAGCGAATTGTTTAATTTTTTTTTTTTTTGGAAATGCTTTTTTATTGTAAATAAAGGTGGAGATTAAATGGTAATTTACACGTTTGGAAATTGAAATTTTATTTTGGGAGAATGTAAATTTTGAGGGTGGAAAAATTAGTTAATTTACATGGGGAAAATGTAAATTTTACATTGAAAAAATGTCGCGTTACTAAAACCATAAGGGCGTATAAAAAAATTTTTTTTGCTCCTATCAATGTAAATATGTTGAAAACATTAACATCTATGGAAAAAACGAAAGAAAATTTTTTTTTTGTGAAAACATTTTTCTAAAACCATAAGGGCGTATCCTGTTTTTTTGGTTTATTATTAATTATAGGTCAGAGTAAGAAAAAAAATTGCAAAGGTAACAGATATATCACTCTACAACTTAATTTATGTCAATAAATATTTATTTAAGTGAAAAAACTAATAAAAATTAAGGGAAAATAAATTCATCAGGGTATTTGGTCCAATGCCACCTCCATCGTCAGCCCAATCCTAGACTCAGCTGTCCTCCAAGGAAAACCAACGCCTGAAAAGGCGTAATATCCCCAGCGACTAGCGGCCTGTCCTTAGTTCTCGCCACCTAAAATCGGTCAATATAAAACTAAAATACTAAAATACCTTCGAATAATATTACTTTTTTATCAAAATCTCGATCCCACATATCATTAATGGTACACCCGGCGCCGCGCATCACAAAAGCTCCAACTCCAAAAAGCGCCAGCAAGTGGAGGTCAGGAATGGCACCTGGTGCCGCAGCCATGGCGATGCTCCAGCTGCAGGGCCAGAACAGCAGCCAAGAGCCGATCGGCTTGTCAATTCTCATCAACTTCAAGTAAGGCTTGACATTTGACGGCGAATTCTCGACTAGTTTAGCAGCAACACTTAATTCTCTCACTAGCACAGAACTTTTTTTCACTTTTAAAAAATTATTTTCTTCTTGACAGCTAAAATTGCTGTAATTTTTATCATTATTTATTTTTGAGCACAAACACGTGCCGGTTTTTAAAAATTCTGTCTCTTTTCTTCTTGTGTGGCTCCAATAATTTAATTTTAATAATTTTAAGCCGGCTATCTTGTGACAGGACTGGATCATTTTTAATTACCTAAAAAAAAAAAAATTATTAACAATTAAATTAATTTCAATAAAAAAAATCAATAAATTATTAATTAAGTATTAAGTAAGTATGTTATATATATAAAAATTATTTGTCATCATGACATTGGCAAATTATACAAATATTTTATTATTTACCTGGTTTTGAAATTTTGTTCTTTAATTAAAAACCGACAGGTGTTTTGTTATCGCTAAAATTACATGACATTGCATAAGAAATAATTTTAGTTATCTAAAATATTGAATTTTCATGGTATATTGTAACCACAATAATAAATATAACAAAATATACTTGTTTGGAAATTTTTTTAGGTTGGTACACTGTGGCGGTTTCTTTTCTTCTGAGGTAAAGTAGTAATCTACATTTCCTGTAGAGGCGCTGGTGATGAGGCGGGAAAATATTTGAATTTTTAAATTATTTAAAAGTGACAGAAAGTAAATAAAAAAAAATTAGTAGATTTCTTAAGAACGTTTTTTAGTAATTTAAAGAATTTTGATACGCACTATTGAAATATTTTTATTGTATAAAATTATTTTAAAATTTAGTCTAGAAACTTATAGATTAATTTAAAATTGAGAATTCAGGGTAGAACTTGGTCTAAAAGCTTTAAACTTGATTAAAAAGTTTACAATTTAGTTTAGTAGTTCGAAATTTAGTTAAGAAATTCAGAAATTGGTTCAAAAGCTTTAAAATTGATTCAAAAGCCTAATCTTTGGTTTGATAGCTCCTAATTTGGTTCAAAGGCTTTAAATATGGTTAAAAAGTTCGAAATATGACTCAAAAATTGTTAAATTGATTCAAAAATCCAATTCTCGATTTAAAAAATCCAGAAATTGGTTTAAATACTCAAAAACTAATTGAAGAATCCAAATATTGGCTTAGAAGCTTTGAACTTTGTTCGAAATCCCAAAATTTGACCCAAAAACTCAACGATTGGTTCAAAAGTCCAGAACTTTGTATAAAAATCTTAAAAATGCATTAAAAAGCCTAAATCTTGGTTTAGAAGCTTTATATTTGGTTTAAAAGCCCAAAATTGGGTTCAAAAATTAAAAAAATGTATTAAGAAGCCCAAATATTGGTTTAGAAGCTTCAAATTTGGTTTAAAATCCAAAATTTGATTAAAAAATAAAGGAATGGTTCAAAAACCCAAAATTTGACTCAAAAACTAAAAAATAGGCTTTGAAACCCAAAATTTGGTTCAAAAACTTAAAATTGAAATAGGAATGTTAAAAACCTAATTGAAAAACTAAAACTAGGTTTAATGTATAACTTTTCAGGTAATATTAGGAAAAATAAAGATTTCTTAATAATAAAACCTATAAATTTGGTTCTCAAACTACAACTTTATGTATTAAAATTACTAGTTTAAAAGGCAACTTAAATAAGCCTTAGCATTTTAGCATTTAATAAAATCTTCCCGTACATTTAAAAACGCGTGGGTAGAGTGAAACATTTCTGCCTAACCAGTTGGGTCTGATGTGTAGGCGCTCCTGGTTATCCCACTCTATTAAAAAAATTCGCGGTTAAAAAGTTGCTCGGCATACTATGGAAAGTTAAGAGTTAAGAGTTAAGAGTAAGAGCAATACGCTCGTAAACTCTATCGTTACATGAGCCAGCGAATAGGTGTGCCATGAGCTCTCAAACAACCAATACACACAAACCAATACCCCGACGCAGCTATTTTTTAAAATTTATATTCTTATTCTCTTATTTAATGTCTTTAAAGTCTGCAACTGAACGGATACCTGAAATAAACTCAATACAACTCCGGTATCTCTCCTTTTATTAACAAGGATAGACTTTTCGCCCACGCACACCTTACTACAATTTTTGACTTTGGAAATATTTTTATTTATTTATTAATTTCAATAACTTCCATATAGGACCGAATTATTATAATTATTTATCGTTGATCTATGATTACAGAGTTTACTCGAGATAAAATGTAGATAAGTAAGGAGAAATGAATTACAGTATTTACTCCTAGGTATCAATTTACAGCTTTCCGACTGTATTCGCTAATCCATTTATCTAAACCCACGTAATTTATATTTACATATATTATTATCATTTTATAAAGATTGTGGTACTTTATAAAGATTACTAGCGTGGATAGCGCATATATTATTTATTAAAGATAAATTTTCACATGAAATTAAGCGTAAAATTATCTATCAGACAAAATAACTCTTTCTTCAATTAAAAATCATTATAGCAACCTTAGAAACGCCCGTTAGTACCTTAGACCCGCCCCTTTTGACCGTTGCTTAGCAACTGTTGCCTAGCAAGCTTAGGAACGCCCCTTAGTAACATTAGCAACGCCTCCTAGCAAAAATTCCATAAAAAATTGAATTTTTTACTAATTTAAAAGTCAAACGGGCTAAGTTTAAGAAAGAATCAATTGAATAATTGGTTAGCAACATAACCACGCCTCTTGGTACCTTAGAAACGCCCCTTAGTAACTTTAATAACACCCTCTAGCAACTGTTGCTTATAAAACTGACTTTTTAGCCATTTTCAACTAAATTGAAAATCAAACAGTCTCAATTTAAGAAAGAATCAATTAAATAATTGCTTAGGATCATGACCACGCCCCTTAGCAACCTTAGTACCGCCCCCTAACAACGGTTGCTCAGAAAATAGACTTTTTAGCTATTTTATATTAATTTAAAAATCAAACGGGCTAAGTTTAAGAAATAATAAATAAAATAATTGCTTAGCAACATAACCACGCTCCTTAGCAACTTTAGTACCGCCTCCTCGCAACAGTTGCTTAGAAAATAAACTTTCTAGCTATATTTTTTTACTAATTTAACATTTAAACGGTCTAAAAATAAATAAAACAATTGCTTAGAAACCTTAACCACACCCTTGACAATTTTAGTAACGCCCCTTTCTATTATTGCTTAGCAACTGTTGCCTAGAAACATTAGCCCCGCCCCTAGCAACCTTAGTACCGCCCCTTAGCAACAATATCTTAGCAACCGGCTTTAAAAACCTCCTTTTAACATTTTACTTAGATTTTTATGCTTGTAAATTTATTTTCAGGTAAATTAAAGCCTAAAAAATTAAAAATTCTTAATAATATTCAAGTAATTGTTAAATTAAGTGGATATTAAATTAGCAGCAAGTAATAAGATGATTAATTTAGGATATTGCGGTTACAAGAACAAATATATTGTATATACAGAGAAATAACACTTGGTTCGGTAGCTGTCATCATTTACCGTGACGAGTAAAATGTTTGTAATGATGAGTTACGTAATTGTGCAAAGGTGCAAAGTAAAGGCGCTTAGTCAAAGAGAGTACCAGCATAACTAGAGGCATTCCACTTTATATGTGTATTAAATTGAACGGAAGTCGAATGTAATTGTATAAGTACACAATTCTTTATAAAAAGTGTATCCTGTCATCGTCTTAGTCTCTCAGTAAATTTATATATAGTTACACTAAATTACATTATACATCAGAGCGATAGAAGTACCACCGGGAATTCGATTACTCAAGACATTATGTTGATTGATATTTTTTTTTTTTGTACTTTCGCTATTATATATTTATTAATCAGCTTAAAAGTTTCATTAATTTTAATCGTAAGTAATTTTTAAAAATTAAGTGAGCTATCAAAATCACGATTGTAAATCCCTGCAAACATAACAGTAAACAATATATTTTATTATTAGTTGTACATTGCAGCAGTAACGAGATACATGCACGTACGTGCAATGTACAATGCAAATAGACGCGAATCTTGACGTTACTTGTGAGTATATATGATACTTAGTTGCTTGCAGGCTTATCAGCCTCGCCTTTAAAAGGCAGCATCTCATTTTAGTTAATATTCTTTTAACATAAATGATCCTCACAATTATTATCATTTATAGTTTTTAAATATAAATACAAGAATTATAAATAGAGACAAGTTCAATGCACTTGATAACTTTTTTTTTCTTATTTGTAAATTTAGTTTTTTTAATTGAGAATTAAAAAATTTTTTTAATAGAAATAACGGTAGCGAGGAAATTACATGTTTCAGTTTTTAGTTTTGTTTGTATTGTCATACCGCGGTTCCGCGCACCTGTTACGCGATATGCAATCAAGTGTCCTACGGTCCGGTTATTTATTTATTTATTTATTTATTTATTCTCTGGTTATTAATTGGTAGTTTGTTTTTCTGGAATTAAGTTATTAATTTTGGATTTAGTTTAATTAAAGTAAATTTTAAATTTTACTTTAATTATATTTATATTCAAAGACTGATAAAAATTTTAATAATTTATTTATTGACAGTTAATAAAACTTATTAAATATAAAAAAATTTTTTAAACTTATTATAAAATTGATGGTTAAAAAATTTTTAATAAAAAAAAAGAATTTTTAAGTAATTTGTCATTTAATTACTTAAAAAATTTTTTAACAATAATTTTTTTGATAATAAAATTTTATTGATCCAAAAGTTTTTCTTTTTAATTTATAAAATGACCATAACTTCTGAAATATTGATTTTATCAAAAAATATTGAGACCAAAATTGTAGCTTATTAAATTTCCTATAAAAAACGTTTTTGTACTATGGAGCTATCTTTAATATTTTAGGAGATACAGTAACTTAATTATTGCTCCAAAAGTTAAAAATAAGAAATGATTATCTAGTCATTAAAAATGGCTTTAACTCCTAAAATATTGATTTTTTTGGTAAAATTTTAAGATCAAAATTGTAGCTTATAAAATTTCCTACAAAAAACGTTTTTATACTATAGGGTTATCTTCAATATTTTAGAAGATATAGTAACTTAATTAAATACTCACAAAGTGAAATATAAAAAATCATTACCTAGTCATTGTAAAAATGGCTGTAACTTCCAAAATATTGATTTTTTGGTAAAATTTAAACACCAAAATTGTATCTTATAAAATTTCCTACAAAAAACGTTTTTATATTACGGGGCTATATTCAATATTCTAGGAGCTACAGTGTCTTTTTCACAAAGCTATCTCCAAACCGATGAATAATAAGTGATGTCATCTAATTACTCTAGTAATAGCTATAACTCCTAAAATAATAATTTTTTGAAAAAATTATAGCTTATAAAATTTCCTACAAAAAACGTTTTTATACTATAGAGCTATCTTCAATATTTTAGGAGATACAGTCTCCTTAAGTAGTGCTTAAAAAACTCCTAAAATTTTTGTTTGAAAAAAAATGTGGTTCAATTTTTCAGATCTATTAAATCCAAAAAACTGAAAAAAAATCTTCTGTATCAATTTGTAGCATTATGTATAATATAAAGATCCAGTCCAATGACAACTGGCTCGAAGCGAGCTCACTTAAAATACATAAAATGTTTCGATAGAATAAAATAGAGAATACTCGGTTGAATCCCATATCAACACACATACACACAAATAAATATTTCTATGACTCATAAAAATACAATTGAATTAACCTGTTGGCCTTACCGTCACGGCCGGAGACGTCTCCGCATTCTTCCATCTAAAATATTACCAACTTACTTATAAAAAGATATATATTAATTGAAAAAGCGAAAAATTAATTACCGGACAAGATTTAGCGGTAAAACGAAAAAATCCTTAGATTGGAGTAAAATACCCGGTGATTGGTGAGCTTTGATCCTCGATCTTGCGATAACGTCCGAGAACGGTCGAAGATCCCCGAGCCGGGCTCCATCCGAGTCAGATATCGAATAACATTCGTGTGGTGGGCTGTACACGTTGCGTTGCTGCCATACTCATATCCTCTGATCTGTTAAGTCTCAACTCGCGAGATCAAACAACGCTTCTTACACGTATTACACCTCCCGAAAAGTTTATGGTTAATTGTTATCAATTATTGCACTAGCAGTGACAAAAACTGGAAAAGTTTCCCGGTGGTAGAGATTTTAAACTCAGACTGGAATTTTTAGCAACTTTGTCGCTTTATTTATATTTTTACCCGGTCACGTGCTTCTGGTTAGATAAATGTTTATATTCGTGAGTGCTAAAGAGGAAAATTGAATTTTTAAAAGTGATTTTTTGATTTTTTAATATTTTTTTTAATGGTTGCTTGGACTAATGAAGTGTTTAAAAATATTTATGATAAAGATAAAAATATAATTCGTTATGGAAGCACTAATGGTAAGATTTAATTTATTTTTTTAATTATTAATTATTTATTAGAAGGTTTATATAATAAAGAGCAATTTTGGGTTTTTTATTTTGACTCTTGATAATTTTTAAATTATTTATTAAGAATTTAATAAAATAAATTTATAAAACTGGAAAATTTATTTAGAAAATTTTTATAGCCCGGAAAAAAATATTTAAAGGCAGAAAGTTGGGTCAAGCAAGACCTTTTGATAAAATTAAATTCAACTATAAAAATTATTTTATTAGTTTTACTTACAAAATTTTAATGATTTTATTTATTATTAATATATTAATAGAAATTCTTGTTAAATTATATTTTATTGACGAAATTTACCTAAAAAACCTTGAAAATAAAATAGAAGTTCTTAAAATTCAAATTTAAATAATTTATCATAAATTTCAATATTAATAATTATTTTTAATAAAATATTATAAAAATTTATGATGAAATTTAATTAATAGAAAATAAAATAGTGTCTTAATCATTTAAAAATTATTTTAAATTAGTATAATAATTATCCGGTAGATGGCGCATGGTCGCTGAATTTTCTCGCTACTAGAAAGTTAAATTATAAGGTATTAACTTCAAATTAAAATAAAGTAATTTTTTAAGTTCTTAAAGAGATTTTCTAGCGTAATTATGAACACTTAAACTTGCTAATTAAAAATAAAGAAATTCATTGGAAATAATAGAAATTCTTGTTAAAATATTTTTGATTAAAAATAAATTATATTTTATTGACAAAATTTACTTAAAAAACCTTGAAAATAAAATAAAAGTTCTTAAAGTTCAATATTAATTAATTTATCATAAATTTCAATATTAATAATTATTTTTAATAAAATTATAAAAATTTATGATTAAATTTAATTAATAGAAAATAAAATAGTGTCTTAATCATTTAAAAATAATTTTAAATAATTAGTACAATAATTTTCCGATAGATGGCGCATGGTCGCTGAATTTTCTCGCTACTAGAAAGTTCAATTTTAAGGTATTAACTTCAAAATAAAATAAAGTAATTTTTTAGCTTCTTAAAGAGATTATCTAGCGTAATTAAACTTGCTAATTAAAAAAAAAGAAATTAATTGGAAATAATTATTAATTAAATTGGGGAAATTTCAGGGATAAATAAAAATGACAGAGATTAACATTTTTATTATCCGTAATTCTATCGGCCTGAATATTTTCAACGGTAAATTAGTTTCTAAACACAATAATAATAAATTATAAATAAAGTATTGAATTGAATAAAACTCCGCGCAATTAGTAATAATTTTATTCGATAAATAAAAAGCAAAATTACAACTATTTATGAATAAAATAATAAAAATTTTAAAAGTAATATACAACATTAATACTTGTTGGCTGTTCTTGTCCTCTTGACACATATAAATAAATGATCCTGCATAAATCGTGCATAAATTATTACGTGACCATATTCCAATTCATTTTGCGTGGGTACACGAATAAGCGAATATTACATAGGATTGGATTGCTAGTAAAGACAGAGGTACTAAGAGCGAACTAAGTGAGCCTGAGCAACGCATGCAACACATTTTTAAACATTATTATTAAATAATAATCCGCTCTAAGTGCTCCTAGAAGTATTAAAGCATAAATATAAGCAAAGGTGTCTATTCCGATGTCTGTCTCTGTCTCTCTCTGTCTTTCGAGCGCGCACTAGCAATATACTTTTCAGTATTAAACACATGCATACATATGTTGACATATTTATTCATTTTTACGTCTTGCTCTATCTATTTATCATTCAAATCCGTTATAGTTAGTTACTATTCCATACAAAACAGATATATGCTCGCATGCATGCACGGATCCATCTATTATTATGTTTTGCGTTTCATAATCTGCAATCCTGTTTTATCAAAGAAAACTAATTAACAGTGTGATTTATTCTCACATAAATTTGCAGTGTAATATTTTTTACTCATAAATAAATAAATTTATGAATAATAAATAGTAGAAGATTTTTTGATACAATTTAGTGGATTAGACTTTTGGCGAAAACCCCCCTCCACTCAGTTACAAACTTAAATCTACTGTCAACAGGTGGCGTATTTTTTTTTATAAAAACCTTTTTTTATTATTTTTCTAACAAATAAATTTTAATTATTTTTTGAATATTGTTTGGCGAATAGCGGGAAACACAAGCTTTAAAGTGGTATTTTTATTTTTAAGTTTGCTAAATAATTAAAAGAGATCTAGTGGCACTAACAAAACACCCTCCAAAAATAACATTTATGATAGTTAACAAATATTTATCAACAGTTGATTAATTTATTTTTAATTAATATGTCTTGTTGAAGGCAAGATCTACAGATGATTAATAAAAAAATAATCCGATTATTTTTAATAATAAATCTCCGATAGACTAATTATTTAAATTGGAAAATAAAAAAATTCAGTTACTTATTACAACGATTATTATTTATTTTATTTTTTAAATATTTGTTATTTAAAAAATAATTAATTATTGTGGTCTAATTATAAATTATCTATTTAAGTTATCGGGGGTTATTAAAAGTCTCAAAGTTATTTTATTTTTCCACAAACGTTTTTATTAAAGGGCCTTCTAATCTTTGTTATTTTATTTTTATCATCAGTTACCAAATATTTATTAACTATATCAAATATTGATAAAAAATTTATTAACTATTACTAAATCTTTATCGAGCCGTCTAATGTTAAAAAATAATTTATTAACACTTAATAAAGCCTATAAAAAATTTTTAAAAAATTCTTTAAAATCATTCCAAAGAATTGTACAGCCAGGATATGAGTATCATTATATCCATAAATCAGTTTTAACTGGACCATAAACCATTTAAAACGTATTGCCTTTGATTGGCTTTGATAAGATAAATAAAATATATACATCCGGGATTAGTCTTGTTAATATCCAGGTATCTATTGATCATCGGCTCTTTCGCCAGTTTATAGTATAAATAAAGTGGATTAAATTAATGGGGATTATAAATAAATATAACAGCACATGAATCCGTCTCCGGATAAAACTGCTCAAGAATCACTGCTCAGCGAATAAGGAATCCTCTATTATATCTCACGGCATTGAGGAGAGATACAAGACCCCAGACCCAACCGGCGGTATCACGAACCGATGATCAACTGCGTCTCCATTGATCAAAGTGATGCCGATGATAGCAACTGCACAATTAAATAATCGATCGGCGATCTTCCATCCGGGTTATTTGACACAATAGTCATTTTATTTTGTAAGAAGCTTTTTAATTTATCTTTATATTCTTCTTCTGAAGAAGATGATGAAGAAGATGATGATGATGATGATGATGATGGATTGCACATATAATATGAATGAGTGGATGTCATATAATAGGCGCTGCCTGCTGGAGCCGAGGGACAAAAAGTTGAAACTTACTGGGATCATCAATGGCGATCACGTGCTGATTGTGTGCGTGTGTGTAGGACTTGTAAACGCAGTTCTCATCCGTAGTACCTTCCTTACACCCAACAATTTATATGTCCAGTTGTGCTCATCTCTGTTTGGTAAGGACAAGAAGAAACAGAACTCACGCGGACGCATGAATGAAACTTTTCATTCACATTCAGAGTTTATTAAATTGTTTTGTTTAAAGTCGAAATTATTGTCGTGTTTTGTAAATGAGACAGTAATTAGCGTTGTTAATTAATGTTTACTAGCAACCTTGCAGTCACTATGTGACCGCTGTGACTTGTGAACTATAAATAAATAGAATTTTGGCTTTATTAAATAATGACTTTTGTTAAATTGAACTGTACTTTCTTAACTATTGACATTTTTAAAGATATAAGCTCATCATGGTGTTACACCCGTCAAGAGCTTTCATTTGAATACCCACATGCATTTTTGATATATTTTTCATATATACATATATATATAATATATATAAATATATGAAAAATTGATGTGGGTACTCAAATGAAAGGTCTCGATGAGTGTAACATCGGGATGAGCTTATATCTTTGAAATATATATATTACATGATTAAGAAATGATCTTGTATCTTGAGAACTATTGACATTTTTAAAGATATAAGCTCGTTCCGATGTTATACTCATCGAGACCTTTCATTTGAGTACCCATATCAATTTTTCATATATTTATATATATATTATATATATGTATATATGAAAAATATATCAAAAATATATGTGGGTACTCAAATGAAAGCTCTTGATGAGTGTAACATCGGGATGAGCTTATATCTTAAAAAACGTCAATAGTTAAAAAAGTACAGTGCAATTTAACAAAATTCATTATTTAATAAAGTTCCCTAAATACAAGATCATTTCTTAATTATTGACATTTTTAATTGACTGTCGGTGAGAATTCAAGTCAAGACCTATGCAATGACATTAAATTTCACTAAAAAAACCGATATTATCATATGACTATCCTGGACAAAAAATTTTTCTTATTTTCTCAATAATATAGATTAAATATTTATTCTTTTCATTTTTATTAAATAAAAAAATTAATTTAGAGTTTTTTAATGTTTATA